GTGCCAGTTCTTCGTAATTCCTTGTATTTAAGCACACGATACCACAAAATCTATACTTGCCGCTGATAAATACTTCTGCTGAGCTTCGGGCTGCCTGCATGTGAGTGTGCAGCCTTCCTGTACTGTAGCTTTAACAGAAAGGTACGTCCTGGCAATTTGATACCGGTGATCTAAGGTAGGACAGACTGAGTTTAGTAGTTAGTTGTAATGAAACAGTCATCTGGTTACTTAGTCATTCGTTTTAAATTAAAGTAAACAATGTTAAGGATTTTCTTTTTTAAAAAGAAATATTTTTGCAAATGACAGTTTCACCCCTCCTTTTTTTTTTCACTGCCTATGTGGGAAAACTAGCACATTTGTTTAAGGATAAACTGGGAAGTCTGTGGTTTCCAGCATGCACATTTTGAATAATATTTATACAGACTATTATTTAATGGGCCACATAAATATTTATCATATGCTGTAGCCCTTTGATCATAAATGCATGTTTGAAAAGCCATTCTGTCCCTGCTGTGATTTGCAAAGAAAGAGGCTATTGCTGTTTTAGTGCTTGCAGGGAATTTTGGCTTCTTGTCCTGTTTTAGCAGTTATAGTCATGGACTAACATGGTCAAGCTGGACATGTCTTTTAAAAACTTTTTTTTTTCCTGTCTCCCTCTCTTTCTGTTTGCAAGTTCAAATAATAAGTTGTAAATATGAGGCCCTAATTCTGTAATGGACAAACAAAGCTGTATTGAAGTTTTGGAGGCCATTTTTTTTGACTGCAAGAAGCCAGGCCTCCTGAGTTAGATACTTCAGGGGCATAGAAGGTAGTATCACCACTTGAGAAGTCCATAAACATGCATCATCCATCCATCAAATATTTTGGTGGCTTGTTAGGAATATTGCGCTCAAGGATTTGACCTCTCTGACTGAACCTTTAGGACTTGTTATTTCAATTACTTTTCTGGTTTGCTGCTTTCTTCATGATTGTACTGACTGCAGAAGCTGTATGCTAAGACTCCAGTAGATAGAAAATCCAAACCAAAGTTTTATTTACACAACAAAGTTTTCTTTGCACATGGCAATGAATGCTGCTGTCCAGATTCCAAAGAAGGAGTTTATGCTGGGATCTTCTACCTCTGAACTCCATGAAAGAGTTTCTTCATTTCTGATTTGGAGCTTCCTCTTGTACCAGAGGAATCGTCTGTAAACAAAACTGAATAACAACATTCCTTTTTAAATTCTTAATAAAGTACTTTGGCTAAATATTTTCTACCAACCTCAGTGCTGAATTCTTAGGTTCTCAAGAAATACCTTTAGACAGAGTCCCTAATTGGTGACATTTATGACCTAGAGATGACAGGGCTTTTTGTGGATCTGGTTGACAAATAGGTGGCATACCAAGTGATCAGTATTCTAGAAAAACCCTTGGCATCAAATTATGTTTTTGCAAGCAGATCAGATCCTATTGCAGTGACGCTATACTTCGAACAGCCTTGGTAACTTAGTGCTTGCTGTGCTTCAAAAAAGGATTAATATTTACTTTTAGCCTTTTTTCGTAAGATACTGAAGTATTGCTTTGCAAATCTAGGTGAGCTTTACTCAGAGAAAGACCAGTTAAAATGGGTTTGTGGTTCTTGTTTTTAGACTTAACTCTTTCTTAGGTCCACTGATTTGCAGAAATAAAATAGTGGCTATGCATAGACTGATGTGTACTACTTGAGCATATAAACAAACTCTGCTTCCTGTGCAGTCACTCGCACATGCACATCCTGGTTGCTTAGTAAGGAAAAAGGAAAGTAAACATTACATGAGCTGATTGGGTTCCAGGTTTCAAATGTTTGTGGGAAGAATCCAATGCAAAGCTTCAATTTTAAGTGCTGAGTAGGAGGTACTATGAGCTTAATTCTCTAACATCTGTTAAGCTTGTTCTCTAAGTAGCAAAAACACATTAATGAGCTAAAATCAAGGCTGCCATACAAAGAAAAGAAATAAAAATTTAGAGTAATATTGTGTGTGTGTGTGAGAAGGAGGCAGGATGTAAAATACTCCTTTTGTTATTTGTATTTTGTGAAAAGTAAGAAAGATTTGCCTAAGTTTAAAAAAAAAAAAAAATCTGCTTTGCAGCTTGTGGTTTATTCTCATCTTTTTATGAGTCAGCAGCTAAAGGCAGTGCTGAAATGGGGAAAAACAGGGATATTCGTGAGATAGTATCAGGAACAGTCTTATGCAATTTCTTGCAAGTAACTAGCAGAATCTGCAGCCAGCCTTTTAAGTTTTGAGGAGATAGATTGCAAAATTAAAAAGTGAACATCATCTATTGAAAAGAATGTCTTAAAACTGCTTTTACAACCAAGGGCTAAGAGGAAGATGCAGAGTGCTGTAAGTGTCCCCAGCTGACAGATGCCGTATTAATCACTGATATCAGGAGAATTGTCATCTCTGTGACAGAGGCATTAGCTTTTGTTAGTCTGACCAGGTCATAGAGCCATGGCCAAGAAAATAAAGTGAGCTTTCTTGCCAATATTCTTAGGTGTTAGACTCATGGCTCATAGCTTGAACAGATGACCTTGCTTAACAAGATTAGTGTGTGTTGCATCTAATCTACTGGGCAGAATCAGTATGCTGAAAGAGAGTAGCTAGTATTTCAGTCAGTACCGCAATATGCTCTATAGCTTTGAGTTTTTTCTAGTTTCTGATATTGTTAAAAGCTAACGATCTGTGCAGCTTCCTCTAGCGACCTTGCTACGGTGCGTGCAGAATGTAATGTGATAACTGCTTTGGTTTGTACCAGGCTGCTTGGGCACTTTAGTGATGGACAGAAGTCCCTCATGCCAATGCTGTCCAAACGAAGAACAAAAAAAATGTTCCCGGCCCCCAGCAATGGTAGTCTAAGTATGAAATGACAGATTCAGGCAGTACAAAATAATCATATGGGACAGGTTGTGATAACAGATCTCCACAGACTAACCACATTTCTATGAACCATTTAAGGGTGAGGGGAAGCTCATCACCACCTCTTTAGCCAAGGCCTTGGTTTATGCTCTTTTAAGTGCAAATGAAACTTTGTCCTAATTCAGCTGTTACACTGCTTAATTATTATCCAGCATGATGCTTAGAGTTTTCTGAGATAGGGGAGTGACCTTTTTTCCCTTCTTTTTTTATTATTTGTTTCACCTGCTACCTCTAACCCTCAGTGCTAATAGAATTGTAATAGCCATCAACAGCAGTGGTTACAAGCCAGCTGTAGATGTGATTAGCCACTTACATTGTGCCAACACTATGTTCAAACTGACACCCAAGGATAGATCTTGACCTATACTCAATATGTCAGGGAGGGGAAAAAAAGGGTTGGTTTTATGTCTTGTAGAAATAAAGTAAAAAACATTGCTTGCAAAGTTGAGTACAATTCACGTGGCTATATGATCAGCTATTACCGTCCAAAGGTAGAAAGAGAACTGTCACCATTTTCTGTTCCACTGCTTTTTCTATCAGGCTTTTGCTATACTTTACCACTAAGCTCTAGTTATTAAAAAAGATTAATTTGAAATGTGAATAATCGTATTCTACTAAGCAATACTTTGCAAATCTTTCCCCCTTTGCCTATGCCCCTCCCTCTAACCAACCCATCTTCCATATACAGAGGTAATCCAGGTCACTTCTTTGGCGAGATGTTTTTAATTAGAGTCATTTTGGTGCTCTGTAAGTACTGTGTATTCATCAAATTATAATTGATCCATTCATTTTCTGGAAATCAGAAGCTACGTGTCAGCTGAATTTTCTATGTTTCAGAGGCTTAATGGATTCATACAAGCATTAAACTTGGTACTTGTCTGATGTTTCAAATACTTTGTATCAGTTCTTACTTAACATTCTCCATGCTTGATTAAAATGTAAATGTTAACTATTAATTAAGGACAAACTGAGAAATTAAGTACAGTGTATTTGTCACTGTATTAAATGTCAAATAGTTAAACATAATATAGTGAAATAAGCAACTCATTGTGAATAATTAAATCAATTAACTTAACCTCACTTTGTTCTTGTAGGTTGTCAAAGAGTAGGCAGAGATTTCCTGCGATGCTGTCGTAACTCCACACATTTTCAGCAAATTATTTTCTGAATCTTTAAAATTGTATGGATTGATGGTGGATGGCTCTTAAAAGCCTAACAGCCTTTGCAGGTGGTGGTTTGTGGTTAGTTTGGCTTTTTTTTCTTTGGAGGGCTGAAAATTGGGTACCAGATTGTCACTTAATTGTTTTAATTATCAGCATCACACCACTTTTTGGGGGAGGGGAAACTGTTTTCAGATTCTGCAGAAATTCAGCCTGGCTCACTGTCTCATTCAGCAGACTGGTTGGTTCTATGGGAGGCAGCAGCTCTTGGCTCCTCCTTCCTCTTCAGTTCAGGGTACAGTGGAGCCAGGTGCACCACCCCTTTCACTACTTCAGGAGTATGATTTCTTTGCATTGAGGCAATGACATATCTGTTGCGGTTCTCGCTGTCTTGTCCTGAGGTGAATCCAACCAGGCATCAGCAGCTTCCCCATCTGCCAGAATTCAGGAAAACCCAGGAGTCTCTGCATTGAAATTTTCCTTCTGTGTAAAGCACCAGCTGCTGAGTTTCAAACTGTATTCTTTCCTTCCCTTCCTATCTCCTTCCCTCTTTTTCCCTTTATGTAGACATGATACTGTATGATCGCAGCTCATTTCCTTGACTGTATGAGTGCAGGAACTGTATCACAGTATGCATATTCTTACATGCCAATTTAAAATTTGCTTTTCAGGAACTTCTGTGCTGTGGAACTTATATACGAGCATTTGAAGAAAAATGGTACAACTAGGTCAAGACTAGAAAACTCCAATTAATTAAAATATGCCAAGGGAAGACTTGCTGCAAAAAAGAGTTATCAAGCAAAGTGCCAGTACAGCATCTCTCCTGTCCTGTTCAGCACAGTTTTCCATCATCAATCATTTTATCTGCTTACAACTTTTTTTTATTTTCCCCCAACAGGTTTTATTAAAAATGGACAGCACAAAGCAGACTCCAGTAAAATACTATGTTGGAATTGATGTTGGGTCAGCAAGCGTTCGCGCGGCTTTGGTAGACGGGTTTGGGACAGTAGTGGCACATGCAGATCAGCCAATCCAAATTTGGGAGCCCCGGCCAGACCACTACGAGCAATCCTCTGCAGACATATGGGCTGCCTGTTGCTCCGTCACAAAGGTATGCAAATAAAGAGAAAATGAAGGAGATACGTGTTGCACGTAGCTCTTCAAGTTTTGAAAGTTGAAGGTCTTCCAGTCACTGGCCTTTAACATCCAGTTTGGTGCATGCTGTATTACTGTATAACTTGTAACCATGCTTTTGCATTAAAGCACCTTGAGGATATGGCTGATGTAGCTTCACAATGTCTGTTACACAGGTGAGGAGCTGAAAGCAAGCATGAAAGAAGCTTGTGATACAACTGAAAATAGAATGAAAGCCCTTCCTTTGCGCTATTAGCTCAGGGGGAGGACTTACCCACTGCTTTCAGGATTCATATCTGTGGGTTTTGTTTTGCTGGTGTGTGTTCTAGCCACAGGACAGTTCTCTGAAGAGTCCAGTTTGCTTAGAACCTGGTAATGCATATATTTAAACATGTGCATTGGGCTGCACTGGAGTCACAAAGGAGCATTTATTGTAGAGAAGTCGTGATCTGTTTTGTGGATGGTGCCTAATGTCTGTCACCTGTGATCCTCATTAAGATGCCTGTCCAGTATTATAAGACCAAAATAAATTATACACGTTTGTGGATAGTATCAAGCATAAAACCAGACTGAAATAAACCTTACTCTGAGGGAAAATTTGTACCCTCTGATCCAGCAATCTGCTTGTACGTGCTGGTGGTAAATTAGTGACCTTGCTTGGCAGTGCACATGTAAGCCATTTCATCCTTCTTAATAAAGCCCTAGCCTGCTCCATGTTCTAACGTTGGCTTTTTAAATATTCATGATATGCTTGGTAATTTGCAGATGGGCAGTTCACCCATTCTCTTGTTATTGATCAGCCTTTTCAAACATTAATGAGCTTGGCTCTGCAGAAATGCCCTGAGATGGAGGAGACAAGGTGAGGGGGTAAGGAAGGAAAAGAAGGGAGTGACAGGAGTGATAGGGAAGAACAGCTTGATGTTAAAGCAGAACAAGTCTTTTATTCTGCTTATTTGATTTTTCTCTTTGTGAATTGCTTTGTTCTTGCTCTGGACCCCTTTAAATGCAATCTTTTATATGTAAGCAATAAAATATGGTCTCTGAAACTATAGCCTTACAGAGCCAATAAGAGACTGGCACTGTGGCAAGTCTAGTGAAAGTCTTTCGTTATAGTACTAATTAAAATAATGATATTTTTATTGTTGCTGAGAAGTGGCAATTTATTACTGCATTACATTTTAGATGTCTTGCAACCTCACTTGGCACTTAATCCATGTGGGTGTTGTGTTTTTTTTTCCAGCACTGCTGGAAGCCACGAAGTTCAGACCTTTTGGGGTGGTGATTTTTTTTTGGAAAATCTTCCAAAAAGTAAGCTATCCAAACCCTTGGTAGCAGAGCTTTTGAAAAGGTGTGCATTGCAGAGGTATTATCGCTGCTACAGGTCTCGATCAAGTTTATTTCTGGGACCCTTCATTATGGCAAGACAAAAAGCTGTGGCACAATATTACCAAAGCAATTCTAGAAGATCGTTGCTTCCGCAGGTGGGAACTGAGTGAAGTAACTGATGGAAACACTTGGCCCTAATCCTGGGTCCATGTTTCATATGCAGCTCAACTCCTAGTTTTTAGAAAAGAGAGAAAATTAACATTGCTAGTTTTCTGCTACCTTTATTTTGTGATATTTCTGTGCTTCCTGCTTTTATCCAGGACTGTGACTAGTAAGATTAAAAAACTATTAAAGAATTTTTTCATGGACCTTTGAAATCAGTTTTGAAAACCAAAGAATTTTTTGTAATTTGGTGTATTTTTGATTAGCAGTGTTAAAGAATACTGGATCTCAACAATTTTGGAGTTTGAGCTTGCATTTCTAACATGTAACTCATTTTCTGTACTCATTAGTTCACATGGTACATGCGTATATATGGATATATTTGAATTCATGCGTTTTGTATATTTGCAGAAAGTTGTCTGTGGAGTAGATGCCAACCAGATTCGAGGGGTTGGTTTTGATGCTACATGTTCCCTTGTTGTTGTGGATAAACAGTTCCAACCTTTGGCAGTCAACTGTGAAGGTAGGAGTGCAGCACAAAAATTGATGGTACTGTACATGTTTTGTCACTGACATGAGTGAACATACAATTTCATCCAAAAGACAAGTTATGGGTTTTACTCTTGGAGGTACAGATGATAGAAAATCTTTTTCACAACAGGATTTTTTTTTTTTTCTGGTTTTACTATTTTAATTCTACTACAAAATTAAATTTGAGATGAGAATTACTTACTGCTTGGCTAAATGTTTGGCATCATAAAATCAAATTCATTCATCTTGGCTCAGGGAGACTGCTTCTTAGAGAAAACTATGCTCATTTTTCTTTTGTGCATGTTTTCTCTTCCTTCAGACTTTACTAATCATAACTTTCATAGTGTGTAAAAATGCTCATCCACACGGAGTAAAGGAATGCTCAAAATGTAGTGTTAGTGTAGTCTAACTGCTTGCGCTGTCATGGAGCTGCAGGCAGGAGATTCAGCTTGTGTATTTTATTGCACTGGTGTTCTGTCTTTGTCTAGGGTAGTGCTAAACTCCAGAAACAGTCTGTGACCTTTTTCTAAAAATTCTACTTTTTTAAATTAGTTTTTGAGTAGGTGATTCAGAAGACTCAAGAAAAGTCTATGATGCACTTTTTTTCAGTGAATCCCATTTAAGATTAGGTGTGTGCTAAATCAGTAGTTACAGAGCCATAATCACAATTCTGTTGATGTTCCCTTTCTATTCTCAGATGTATTTGTCATCTCCTCCTAGCTTTCTCAAAAAACCAGCTTTGCCCCCAAAGTGTCCTTCGCTAAATTTAGATGAGATTATTTATTTTTCAGTTTGAGAGTCTCTTACAGTCTGTTCAATGCCTAATGATGTCTGGGGCTATTTTAGTCTATTGAGTCAAATTCAGTTTTCATTTTTTGTTCTCTGATATTCCCAAGAATTTTGAATTTACACAGTGTTGTTATATTAAAAGATAAGATTGCACTGAATACTGTCACACTGGTATGAGCAAGTGGTGGTGTGGTTTCAGACAGTCTCAGTTCTAAGCTGTATTTAAATCCATGTTAGAAGTATTGGTGTACCTCATACTTCTACCTTGCCTTGGAGTATGTTTTCAAGATTATGCGTCAGTGGCTGTGTCGTGAACTTGAGTGTGCAGTGTACTTTGCAAGAGAGGAATCTGAAGTGTCACCTGGATTACTGTTCTACCTGTCTAGCTGATCCTCTGTAGGTTAATTTTGATAAAATGTTCTTTGCTTCTTGTTCTCATGTATCATGTGGACTTGCCAAATGCTTTTTTGTTCCACATCCAAAATAAAAGCATTTCAGCAAATTACACCCCTGAAACTATTTCTGAAAGGAATCAGAGTACTACTTCTCATAACAATAGAAGAGGAAGGAGAATCCCTGTAACTGGCTAGCTGACTAGCTGAGTTAATTTCAATTTATGGAGCAATTACTCAGATTTTGTCACATTTTTAGTTCTTAGTCATGAAAATGCTTCTTCATATTTTTAACTAAATATGTGTACTTTATCAAGAAGTTTGAGTTCTTTGAATGAAATATAGTCTACAGGAACATGGTGTTTCAAAGTTCTTGGGTGCTTACAAGCCTGATTGGTTTCAGTCAGCATTCTCAGTGCTCAGCATGTCTTAAAGTTGGCTCAGAGGACTAGAATTTTATCTTTAGATATCTACTGTGGATTAAAGCAAATAGAATTTGAGTTTTCTATGTAGAAGTGAAAGTGAAGCAGCTTAGTGTAGCAACTTAAAGTACTGAGCTCAGTGGGGTTAAACCAGACCTAAAATAATCTCTCTTTTTTTTTTCATCTCCCCAAGGACAAAACTATAGGAATATTATTATGTGGATGGACCATCGTGCAGTCAGTCAAGTTGAGCGCATCAATGCAACGCAACACAGGGTTTTGAGCTATGTAGGAGGAGTGATGTCTGTGGAAATGCAACCACCTAAATTGCTGTGGATAAAGGAAGTGAGTACATCTAAGATTGTGGTGCATTTTTACTGATGATTAATGCCCTTTGTTAATTTCTGAGAATGAAATTTCTAAAGCAAAAGTCTTCAGCCTTAGTGTTGAACCCAAAGATGTGCAAAGTAAGGCCAGCCTTAAGTTGTGATGAAAATATTTTCGTTTTTTTCCTCTTAATTATTTAGAAATACTTTTGACTTTATTGAAATTTAGTGTATCCTGATTGAAATATGTCGTATGCCTTTCTTATCTAATTTTAAGTTTAGATATACATACAAATTTAGTTGTAGGTAGTGAATGAGTCCTAGGATTTAGTTATGGAGGCATACTTCCTCCTCCAAGTACTGTAGTGGGCATCCCTGCAGGGGTACAGGTGCTACTCCTGGGATGGATTTATAGCAATTTGAAAGCAGCACCATCTCAACATTGGGTATCCTGGCCAGAGGTACTGCCTTTGAGTCATTGCATCCAACAGTGAGGGGATATGTGATGTCTTAGGTTGCTGTCCCATCTGTAGGAAGCAGACAATCTGTAGAGGGAAGGTGCTCTGTTCACAGTGTGGAACTCTACCTCTGTCTCTTGTCTTTAAATTTTGTGTGTTACAGCATGACATATGGCTTCTTAATAATAACTGTCAGATAAAAGGGGAAATGCTTGCCACTTGAATTTTTTATAACCTCCTCCAATCTGGCTTTTACATTTGGTCTCAGTGATGCTTGCTGTCATTTTAACAAAACCCAAATGTAAATTACTTGCTGCCAGTTTCAAGCAGCCGAAGGCTCCTTACAAACATGAAACATCATATAGTAACAAGGTGCAGACTGGGGAAAGTCAAAGGAGTTAACTGGTAGAAGTACTGACAGATTCTTGGTAACAGAGCATAATTAATGTTGTTTGTAGATGCTATACTGAAATATGAATATCCATCTACTAGTTCTTTCCTTCTTGAGCTGTGAGTATCATACATCAATCATTTTGTAAATAATAAAAAGTGAAGCTGTAAAAATCTTAAATGAATCCATTGTGTTAAGACATTTCTATATTGTAAGGTCTGAAATATCAGTACCTGACTGATCAGGAAAGGCCAGATTACAGGGTCTCCAAATGTGGTCACCCAGAGATGTAGGTCTATGCTATGGCCTCAAAGCCCTCTGACATAATTGCTGTAGTATAAAGGGGAGAGCAAGTATTGCAGGGCTTGTTCCCTCCATGAGCAAATGGGTAGGAAGTAGAATTCACCTTACCCTGCCTGCCAGCCAGTAGCAGAGATTGCCTGGCAGAAGGGCATTACACAGCAGGGCTTGTTCATAGGTCCCCTTTCAGCTCCTGACGTACCCTCTGAAGAGATTATTATCCTTAAGAGAGGGTGGATTTACCTCAGTATCTGCTTGTTGAGCTGCTCACATGACAGTTCCTGCATCCTGAGTGGACTAGCAAAGTCATACTGTTAAACTGCTTGAGCTTACCCTGCTTAACCCAGGCACCTTAAGCAACACCTACAGTAGCTCATGGGAGGGAACAATAACATTTCTTACGGAGTCGGTTGAGTCAGTTGAGATGTGGGCATGTAGTATTAAACTTTTTACCTTCAGAGAGGTGTGTGATGGAGTCATTGCTTACTGCTTCTATACTTGTTGCAAAGTAGGAGGGTGAAGGAAATTGTATGAAGAGTGATGGTTTATTTTCAGTGCGCCTATGTATTACATGACTTTTAGGGCTAGCGGCAAAGGTTTGTGTTAGCCTCTGACAGATGAAATTCAGCCTCATGTAATGCGAGTGTTCTCACTTTTTGCCAAGGAAGGAAAATTTTACAATAACTTTGAGTATCAGGTTCTCCAGATGAGAGCTAAACCATCAGTTTGTGCATATGTTGTTATTCAATGAAGTGTCTTCAAGTGATCTACAAATAATAAATTACTTAAGTCTCTTCAGATTCTTTGTTATTAATATTTTATAGATGAATAAACGATGATACAGGTATTAAAGGCATTGTTAGGAGAGCTACTTATAAAATGGTACTTAATGTTTCCTTCATGTTTTTTGAGTCGTATCATCTTTCTTTTCCGTCTTTAGTGTATTTCCCTCCTGCTAACACCGCACAATTCACAGAGGCGTAGCAGGGTGAGATTTTTGATCTAGCTCATACACCATAAGGAAAAAATAGTCTATTCTGGTTGCAGGATTATTTCTTAAGCTGGTGATAATGCACAAGCTGGCAAAAAAGTAGTTTGGGTTTCACATCCCTTGGGAGAGTCACAGGATTAGCAGGTAGAAAGAAACATTTTATTTTTATTTTACCCCTTTTAACTGAGAATATCTGAAGGCTTTGCAAAGTTGAAACTGGAATTCCCATTGTGCTTCTATTTCATTGCGACAGTTGGTATTCAGAAAATAACTGCACTGTACCTGGTTTGCGTAGGCCACGCGTTGAGTCAGTTGGCTAGATGGGAACTTCATGGGCATAAAATTAAGTGTCTTTTTTAAAAACATGGCCCTTGGTCCTGGCACAGTGAGGGCCAAAATGGGATCGTTATGAGCACTAAACATTAGGGCTGTGATGTGCTGGCAGAACTAGCTGGGGAAGTTTCAGATAGTGTTTGCCTGTGCTGTGTCCCTAGCGTGATCATGGCCGCCTCTCCAGCTTTCCTACTAAATGTCACCAAATATGCTACCAGCAAGATTTCTTTAAAGTGTCATAGATCTGAGTAGTTTATTTGTCTGTCTTAAATCCTCACCCCCGTTTATGTTTTCTGTATCATATGTGAAGTAACTTTTCCTACCAACCTACTGCTTGCTCCGGTGAGCAGTGCAGTCTCAAGAGCTGCTTTAAAATAAGATCCCTCTCAAAACATCCCAAAAGTCTGTGCTACATTGTGAAACGCTCTCCCATAATTTTCTACCAACCTCTGCAAATACTAACAAAAAGTTAGTTCAAGTTTTTCCTGAAAACGCTCCCAGTATTTCTAGAACTATTTCCAGCCATCTGACTGCAAGTAGTGCAGCCTGCTGCTTAACACAAGACCTGTATTGGGTCAGACCAGAAATCCATCTGACTTCTTAATTGTCTGAATAGTAATGAGGTTTTTGCTCTATGAATTTAACTAGTCTTTTCTGAACCTGCATGCACTTTTTGCACCTATTGTGTCCTGTGATAATCAGTTCCACTGTTTAACTGTACTCTGTGTGAACAGGTACCTTTTTTTCTGAAACAAGCTCCTAAAATTTCATTAGCCTTTTAGTTCTTGAAATGTATGAGACAGTGAACTGTATCATTCCCCAGTCAACATCTTCATGCCGTGGACCACAGGGATGTTTTTTCCTTTCCTTCCTTATTCCTTTCTTAATGTTCCTCCCTAATGTTGTCATATACCTGATAGTACCCCAGGAACTTACACTGCCAAACAATGGTTTGGGCACATTCTTCTATGACTGGGCATAATCAAAACTGGCTAAACTGAGGTGTACTCAGAAGCTACTTTGGGCCTTTGTCCCTTTGGTAGGCATCACTTTTCTGGAAAGTTTTTAATCAGAAAGCTTGACATGGCTACAATACATACAACGCATGGAAGTTTATAAGCAAAACAAAGCAAAACAGAAAACGCAGCCATACAGTCTGTACAGTCATGCTCCAGATCAGTGGGTACACCCTAATATATGAAGATTCACTGTTGACTTTTGCCTTGAATTCTCTGGAACTTTTTTTGAACTCCCCAGGAATTTATTGTTTCTGCTATTAAATGTTTCTGCTATTTTCCCCTTGTGCATCTTTGCCTGGGATTGGTGCTGTGCACATTCCGTATCTGCTTGCATTGATCTAGGTTTTGCAGAGAGGGTGCAGTGGGGAAAATAACTGTTTTATATCTGAAGTTATGATAAAATAACCTGGTGCTAATAATTAAGAACAATTTATAGACCCATTGAAGTAACCGGCAGGGTTAACTTTTGTGTCGTTGGGAAAATAAATAGCATGTAATTGGAAGAACCTTAAAAGTAGTCCTAATGAAATGTGTTCCTTTCAGTGGATCCTCAGTTCTTTGGAACTCTTAACATTGTTTCTTGAGCTTCAAAGTTTATTTAGGCTGGCATAAGTATAAATGTCTCTTTTCTGAGTTTATTGCTTAACTGATAACTATTCAGGGTGTTCCTTTGACTTTTCCATATTCCATAGTCTGTGGAGTCAGATGTAGGAAACTGCAGTCTTGCTAATACAAGGCAAATTGCGCAAATGTGTCTGTAAACTAAATTGAGTCATTTAGGAGACTAGTGATTTAAAGACTAGCTAGATGCACTTTTGGAAGTAAGTTATTTAAGGTATTGATACTAAATGACCCTTTGGACTATGGAATACCTGTAGGTTACTTGTATGTACATTGTCATCAAAACCTCTCTCTCCCTTTCCACGATGCGAAGTTGACTGTGGAAGGCCACATTAGGAGATCCTGTCCTCTCACTCTTTGCCCTGGACTCTCCTAGCTGTAGTATCTGAAAACTTGACCACTGTGAGGAAGGGTCTGACACAGGGCAGTTCAGCAGCGTTGCTGAGTGTCAAGTGATTAGACTGTCCCTCAAAGAAAGGAATTGAATTTCTATTACTTGAAGAACTTTCATGTAAACAGTTAAAAACGTTGCTAGAGAATATGACTTAGCAACTTTACTCTGAATTGGTTGGAAGTAATGTAGAGGGAGGAGAAGGGGGAGAGGGCTAAGGTGACTTAACTGTGATTTTTCCATTCCCATCATCATCTTTTTATTAGAATTGAAGTTGAAGATGACCTCACTGACTGTAAGGAATGACATGATGTCATTCTACGAGAAGTAGATACTGGTCCTTATCTCTTGTGGCTTTCCTGTTACACTTGACTTGTATTTATTTGTAGAAGGTTTTTTCAGTTTTTCTTCCAAGTCACAAGTTACTCTCATCTGCTTCTTTTTGACTCTCTTTTCCATATAATGCTTCCTCTTGAAGACTTCTCTTCATCTCCTTACATTCCTCTGTATGCAGA